GGTTTAGGGTTTCGGTTTAGGGTTCGTAATTGAACCGTAATCGTGTTTGGGGAGCACAAGTTTCAGTGATATTTTTGTTAAGATAAGGAGATCCAAGTCTAGGATTTGAAGGTTTGGGGTCGAGGGCTTGTTTTGTATCTGAAGTTTAGGGCTTCAGGATTTCATACTTTAAAAGGTTAGGGCTTCAGGGCATTTTGAGGTTTACGTTTTAGCGGTGTTAAGGTCTTAGGGTCCAGGATGTTTTTTTGAGGCTATCAAGGCTTGGGGATTTAAAATCGAAGGCGTCAGGGCTTTAAGCTTTCAGCTTCTGAGGTTTATGGCATCCTACAAAGTCAGGGCTTCTAATTCTAGGCTTCAGTTATATCATCGAATAATACACCACAAGCCGCATTTCAGAGAGCCCTTCTTTGGAAACATGCTGCTCTGGGTTTCACATTGAAGGCATCAGGGCTTTAAGCTTTCAGCTTCAAAGGCTTATGTCATCGTGCCAAGTCAGGGCTTCTAATTCTAGGTTTAAAACTATGAAAAATATTGCTTCAGCTATATCATCAAACAGCACACCACAAGCCGCATTTCAGAGTCTGGAAGGCTTTGTTTGGAAACATGCTGCTCTGGTTGTAGCATCGAAGGCATCAGGGCTTTAAGTTTTCAGCTTCTGAGGTTTATGGCATCATGCACAGTCAAGGTATATCACCAAATAGCCCACCACAGGCCGCATTTCAGAGTCTGGAAGCGTTTCTTGGAAACATGCTGCTCTGGGTCACTTTCGGGTGTGAGCTTTTCTATAAGTGGCCAAGGCCAGGGATCCCAGGCTTGACTGTAAATTCTGGGCGCTTCTTGCTGTCAGGCTTGTCAATCGGGGATTGTATGTTTTCGCAACGACTTTGGGCCACAACGGGGTGGTGTTGTCGGCAAGTCTCTGAAACTATCCATTATTATGTAGCTTTTCATGTCCGCACTGGTGTTGCATTCTGGTTTCTTCAATCTGAAGACGGACGACGGACTGCTGTTCTTTACACGCAAGAGCAGGCACTACAGCGGCGGTGTCAACCCCGCTAAAGGCATTGTACGACATTTTCTGATGCATGCTTGTCGCGATCTGGTCCAAGCCACGGCTTCAAAGGACGATGCTTGTGCTTGCTACATGAGCGGCATGATCGCTACCATGGGGGGCACGCGGATGGCTTTAAAGTTTGGACGGATTTTGCGAAGCTGTCGTTTGCAACTTGCATCATGAGCACTATATTATGTTGCACCCGGGTACATGCGGCTCTTAGCATTCTTACTACGCACAGGCTCGCGGAGTGTTACATTCGGGCAATGGAGGCTTAGAGGCTTAAGGCTGCAACCTAATTCGCACGAAAAAACGCCGCACGTGATGCTTGCTGGGCTTGTTGCCGGAGTGGGAAAGGCGTTAGCTTTGTTGGTCTTTAGGATTTAGGGTTTAGATAGCAAAAAGATATAGTTCCGGTTTCTTCGTTAGCTAGTTTTTGGTCTTCGTCTTTAGGATCTAGGTCTTATGGTTTAGATCATGAGGGTCTTGTCGTCGATTCGGCTCATTTCCTGCCGGGGTGGGAAAAGTTAGCTAGTTTTTGGTCTTAAGTATCTAGGTCTTATGGTTTAGATCAACGATTGACAACAAGTTTTGTCGTTCAACATCCTGGCAGGAGGTTTCGCCGAAAAAGCCTCTCTACTTCTTGAAGACGAAGCTTACAATGACAAAAGGCCAGGCTGTGCGGCTGCTGTGAGCGAAGCTTCGGGATCGCAAGCACAACGGCTGAGTTTTTTAGCCTAAACTTTGAGGGTTCCGCTCCGTAAAGGGACCATGTTGTAGGTTTAGATGTGAGACCCCCCAATTCAATTCGATCCGAGCCTGTGCGAATTTAAAGCGATCCGGAGCCTGAGTTTTTGCAGGGCCTTTCGGCCCACCTTTGGCAAAGAATGAGCCAGGGCTGTATTTCTGAGTAATAGCAGTGGTAATAGTAGCTGAGCAAAGTAGAACAGCAGAGTGCTTATTGTTGCTGTTGAATGCTCATTCGAACTGACGTGCAACCCGGCGCACCGCTTCTGCTGTGCTGGATGAAAGAAGAGTGAAGCCCTAAGCGCCTAAGGCGTTTAGATTTCAGGGTATAGGGGTTTAGGGCTGTAGGGGTTTA